TTTCACTCAAATACTTGAATAGGGGTCTCTAAAGAGACTTTCAAAAATTAAAACATAACCTCCACACCAACATCACTCAACAAAAGTAATCCTTAATGTCACCAAAGTCTCCAGTTCTTAGTCAGGTTTCCCTTTTTATTTCAAAGATAAAAAATTATCTTTGAATTTTTTTGTAATTGCTTTGCTTGAATTAGGATCCAGATGTTGGAATTTGTCATTATAAAGTCTTTTATTCGAGAACGAGCTCTGCCCCCTCTCATTTTTATGGCATTGACTTACTAGGAAAACAGGTTGGTCATCTTGTAGGATGTTCCACATAGTTTTAGGCTAATGGGTTCCTCAGAATGTTTAACTCGTGCCTCTATCCCATGTGTTTTCTGTAAACTAGTCATTAATCTAAAGTCTTGGTTAGATTCAGGTTCAGCTCTTTGGAGTAGGAATGCATAAATGCATCTGTTGCTGTAAACCTCCTCTTAAGTTCTGTCAGGGGGCACATATGGTCTCTGGTCCCCCTGTTGATGACATTAAGGGTGCTCAGTGTTTCCACTTGATCCCTCCCTTATAAGTTCTCTATCTGCTCCTCAGTTTCCTGACAATCTCAGTGTCCACTGGTGGCCACCACCAGAATCCATTATTTAGGGTTGCATGAGATCATGGACCTTTGCTTTCCCGTGTCCGTCCTCTCCACTCAGACGTTGTGCCTTCCCTGTTCCCGTGTGTCCTGGCATGGCTGTGAACTTGGTAGGAGCGCGTAAGCACTTACCAGGTTGAAAGGGGGCTGAGGCGTGCTGGGGTTGGGACGCAGTCCTCCCAGGTGTGTCCTGGCTCCGTGAGAAAAGCAGGCCTCGGCCCTGGTGCTGTGTGGCCCTGTCTCTGGCAGCTGGTGCAGTCTACACCGTGCCTGGCTCGCAGCAAGGGGTGGGTACAGGCCAGGCCTCCTCACTGCTGGTCCTCAGTGACCCCAGTACCTCTCCCTTCTCTAGGAGAACCGCCGGCGGGCCAAAGAGGAAGCGTCCGCCATGGAGGAGGAGATGGCCCTGGCTGAGGAGCAGCTGCGGGCCCGGCGGCAGGAGCAGGAAAAGCGCAGCCCGCTGGGCAGCGTCAGGTGAGCGCGGCCTCAGGACCCGGGCTGGGAGGGGGCCCGTGGCTGGACCCACCAGGCTCCGAGTGAGGCCGTGATTTAAGAGAAGTTAAACATGCAGAGGTGAATTGGTGACAGGTTGACTGTGGTCACATGGAGGAATTCTGGACACACTTTCAAGGGGTGGTGATCTGGCTGCAACTCCTGGCATTGTTAAGTTGTGGTGGGGCCTGAGGTGGGCTGGAATGCAGAGTGGGTCTCACAGCCTCATCAGCGAGCGAGGGCTTGGGCATCCTGGTTCAGAGGTGAGGCAGGGAGATTCATGGGCCCCTGTGTCTGCCCTGGTGTCTGGAGTTGGGTCAGACCCCACAGGTGAAGGGCACAGTCCCAGCAAGACTGCCCTCAGAGCCTCAGTCACCACCTGCCAGCTGGGGGGTACCCAGGGTCACCCTCATTTCTCATCAACTTGTTACAAATTTGGGGATCCCCACTGTGGTGCCCAAGGCCAAGGGAAATTCCCAGGGTCTAGAGATAACCTCCAGGATGTGGGGACAGAGCCTTGCCTCAGCTGGAGTGGTGGCCTGCTGAGGCGGAGGGGAGACCTCCTCCAAGGCTCACCTGTTGTTCAGTCGCTCAGTCACGTCTGACTCTGCGACCCCATGGACTGTAGCCTGCCAGGCCCCTCTGTCCATGGGATTCTCCAGGCACAAATACTGGAGTGGGTTGTTATTTCCTTCTCCAGGGGATCTTTCCCACCCAAGGATCAAACCTGAGTCTCCTAAATTGCAGGTAGATTCTCTACTGCTGAGCCACGAGGGAAGCCCATAGCTCACCTAGGGGGTATGAAAGGATTTGTTAATAAAGCCATCTCACAGCATGCCTCAGTGGATATAAGAAAGAAGGCCCATCTCATTCTGCTCCCAATCACAGATCGGGAAGGCAAGGGGAGTGGAAGTACGTTAGGGGAGAAGACCCTGCAGCCCCGGAACCTGCTCACACACAGTTAAAAACGCCGGGTTTCAGGCTCCTATTTCTACTGTGTGTCCTGGGCAAAGTGAGCCGCAGTGTGATTCCTAATCCCTCTTCTGTGTCTCCAGGTCTACGAAGATCTACACTCCTGGTCGGAAGGAGCAGGGGGAACCCATGACCCCTCGCCGCACGCCAGCCCGCTTTGGGCTCTGAGCCGAGGCTGTCTCTGCAGGGGAGGGGAGCCAGGTGTTGAGTTCCGAGCCCCGGCCTATCGACAAACCCTCTCAACCCAGGCCATTTTGACAAAATACCTGCACACAGCTTTCATCTGTGTACATCATGGCCCCGGGGCCCCTGCTGAGGCCAGGCTCTGCCACAGAGGAGGCTAGAGTTCCTTGGTGCGTGCGCGGGGCCGCAGAGTGGCTGCTGGGACCACAAGAGGTGGCCGGACCCACCAAATACAAATAGATTGTCCCAGGACACTTGGTGTATCAGTGACATGGCTGTGACTATGTTTTTTTTAAAAAGTTCTTGTGTAAAACAGCACAATAAGACCTAGAGGGAATTATAATTTGGTTATAATTCAGGATTTGGAAATAAATTTATTGTTTGTAAAATGTTATTGTATTTCTGATGGTTCTCTTCCCCTCACTGCCCTGAATCACACGCTAGAGAACAGGCAAGCCCCGGCGTGACTTTCCTTAGACGGGGCCTCCTAGAACCTGAGCTCTCCCTGTGTCTGTTCTCCAGGCAGTGCCTGGAGGGGTCAGGGGGGGTGGAACTCAGCTGACAGGGAAGGAGTTCGGCCTCGGGTGCCAGCACCAGGTGGGTCAGGCTCTCAGGGTGCCTGGCTGCCCCTAAGGCTGGTGAGCAAGGCTGGCCCTGCTGGCCAGGCGTGGGAGGAAGGCGAGCAGCCACTCACCCTTCCCCCATGGTTGGGTTGGCTACCCTATTGTTTAAAATGGCAGAAGTTTCTAACTTTATGATAGTACTATGTATCGATGGAAAATAGCGTTAAGATGTTGCTTATGGATTTTCATGTAAAAGGTGATTCCTTCACTGGAATCACGAGTCTTTTCTCATGTTAGGCGGCCTCTGCAGTGTGCAGAGGTGATGGTTTGTGTATCTGATCCTTTGGGTCACCACCCAGACGAGCCCATCATTCCTGCCTCACACTGCATTTCCATTATTTGCCCTTCCCAGGTCATAGTAGGGGCATCCTCTATGACAGATTGCTGCTATCAGCAGAGCATTTTCTTGGCTTTAGTTGAGCTGGGGAGGAAGGCAAGATATTAAAGAATTGCTGGACTTCCCTGGTTGTTCAGTGGTTAGGAACCTGCCTGCTAGTGCAGGGGACGGTTTCAATCTCTGCTCTGGGAAGAGTCCACATGCTACAGGGCACTGAGCCATCGCTCTAGAGCCTGTGCTCTGGAACAAAGCGTAGCCTCTGCTTGCTGCAACTAGAGAAAGCTCGTGCCCAGCAACGGAGACCCACCACCCAGCATCGAAGACCCAGCACAGCCAAATAATAAAATTATAAAAAGCTTTTAAGAATTGCTACCAACTAGTGGGTTTCTCGGAGAAGGCAATGGCAACCCACTCCAGTACTCTTGCCTGGAAAAATCCCATGGATGGAGGAACCTGGTAGGCTGCAGTCCATGGGGTCGCTAAGAGTCAGACAAGACTGGGCAACTTTCACTTTTCACTTTCATGCATTGGAGAAGGAAATGGCAACCCACTCCAGTGTTCTTGCCTGGAGAATCCCAGGGATGGGGGAGCCTGGTGGGCTGCTGTCTATGGGGTTGCAGAGTCGGACATGACTGAAGTGACTTAGAAGCAGCAGCAGTGGATTTCTTCCTTCATTTTTCCTTTCCCTTCATCCAGAAATATAAGCTCTTTGATTTCTTTCTCTTACTTTACCTTTGGCTATTATTATTTCTCTCAATTTTCTATTTTTGATCCCTTGGTTGGGAAGATTCCCTGGAGAAAGGAGAGGCTACCCACTCCAGTATTCTTGGGCTTCCCTGGTGGCTCAAGACGGTAAACAATCTGCCTGCAATATGGGAGATCTGGGTTTGAGACGTGGGTTGGAAAGATCCCCTGGAGAAGGGAATGGCAACTCACTCCAATATTCTGACCTGGAGAATTCCATGGACAGAGAAGCCTGGTGGGCTACATACAGTCCATAGGGTCACAAAGAGTCGGACATGACTGAGTGACTTTCACATTAATATTTCAATTTTCTATAGACTAGAAATATAAATTCTAGACATGTACTCAGTTGAACAAAATCCAACCACAATAAAATAGGTTAGCTGTTCTTGGAGTTTGTTATAATTGGAATTTTACTTGTACTGAGCTGGCTGGGGAAAAAAGCAAAACTGTTAAAAGGAATATGGCGGCCAGTGAGAAAGTAGATGGCTATTTCTCCCTCCTCCATTTGAAAAGTGCACAATTTATTTCTCTCCCTCTCTTTTGGATCTCAGGATTACTTTTTGTGGTTTCTAAGTATTTTTTTTTTCTTCTTAAATTCAAGAGATGAAAGGAATAAAAAAGGAGCGAATTATCTCTTGTTGGTTTAAAAACTAATCCAGACAATCCAGAAGCTTGCTTTTGGAATTACAGTCCCCCTACATACATAACTCAGCCAGTAAAGAACCTGCCTGCAATGCAGGAGATCCCAGTTCGATCCTTGGGTTGGGGAGATCCCCTGGAGAAGGGAACGGCTACCCACTCCAGTATTCTGGCCTGGAGAATTCCATGGACAGAAGAACCTGGAAGGCTACAGTCAGTGGGGTCACAAAAAGTCAGACACGACTGAGTGACTTTCACTACATATGTGAAAGAGAGCTCTTGTTTTTTTAGAATGCAGAGAAAATGGGGATGACCACATTGCTGGGGACTTGAGTGGGCACAAGTGTCTGCAAGACACCGAGAGCTCACAGAGACGTCTGTGTTCATGTCTTTATTTTAGAATTTGGGCCCGGAGAGGGTATAGTATGGTTCCAAGGCTCACTCCACAGCAGGAAGTGGACAAAGCTCAGTAAAACGTTAGCATCTTGCAGAATAGCCTGGGACCTTGACATATTCCCATTAGAGCTGGCTCAAGTCAAGAGAGAGGGATGGGAACTCACTGTCCTCTGAAAAACATGCGTGGAAATGATGCTCGGGGCAAGGCGCTGATTCTAGCAAAATGAGGAACCTGAGGGAACAGGGAAGAAATGACAGTCTTAATTTGAGAAGAAATTAATGAGGTGATTCCTTAAGGACTAGTCCTGTGGTGGGGCAGCTCTGTTGCATGTGACTTCTTCCCTGGGAGGGGGGAACCATGGAGTCTAGAGGTGGCAAAAAAGGTAGCTTGGGGCCCAGGCTGTGCAGGGGACACCAGGGCTTCTTGGGAGGTGTCCAGAACACATTACAGGAGAAAGATGCCTATTCTGTCTGTCCCCCTCTTGTCTCCACATTCCCCAAAAGAGACTGGGTCTGGGGAAGGGATAGGTCTGAGATAGGAGGCACCTGGGTCATCATCAAAGCATCTTATATCAGAATGAGCCTTAATTCATTTGCCTCCCCCCTTTACAGAGGAGAAAACAGTGATCTCTGGTTCAGAGTGTGTGCTAAGTTGCTTCAGTCATGTCTGACTCTGTGCGACCCTGTGGACTGTAGCCCACCAGGCTCCTCTGTCCATGGGGTTCTTTGGGCAAGAATACTGGAGTGGGTTGCCATTTCCTTCTCCACTGGTCCAGAGTAACTAAGCAAAAGATCATTTCCCACCCACCTCTTTGAATTTCCAATCTAGTTATCTCTTGAAAAATAATATCATGCTTTTTTGGGGGGGGTTACTCATTGGACTAAGAGATAACATCATAGTAAGTAGCAGAAGCCATGGTGGACATACCTGAGCAGTGGGGTATCCCGACAAACTTGGTGATGTCCATTCTTTGGCTCACATCCTGGGTTATCCCCCTCCAGCCCAAGGTACCATACACTTTCCCCCTGATTGTGGGTTCTGTTTTGCTTTGGCATAGGGCTTTAGCATATACCCTCGAGGGCCCAGCTTTCAGCTTCTTCTCCTCTATTTCATGCTTTAGCTTCTTGTTTTCCTTTTGCAGATGGACCATCACATTGTGGAGGTGGCTGGGGAAGGAGAGGGAAGGACAGGTGGGTGTCTGGTCTGCTTTGGCCCTGTGGACACCCAGTTCCTTCCAGAGCTAGGCTCTCATGCCTTCTGGGGAAATGGAGGCCTATGTGCACCCCCTGGAAGAAGCCCAGGTCTGGGGTTGGGGTGGACCCACAGCCAGCACTCCTGACCCATGGTGTCATGTCAGCTCAGGGCTGACTTTCTCAACTGTTAGGTGGGGACAATTCAGCCTGATCTGCCTTCTGGGGCTCATATAAAAATCCAGTTTGATAAATAATAGAAATTTGACTCAAAGAGCCAGAAGAGCCAGAAGGACTCGGGCTGTGTGTCTCAGTTTCTCGTGGCCACGCCTTGGAAACATCTGCACTCAGTTCTGATGCCAAAGCCCAAGTTCTCTCGCCTCCCTCAGCTGAAAGGTTGAGAGCACAGGGGATCCTGGCTCTGTTGAGAGCTTGGGCAAATTACTTGTCCCCACTTTATGGATGCAATGGCAGCTTCATGTAGGTGAGGGGAAAGGTAACTGAGCATAACCCTGTGGCTCAATAAATGGCAACTGCTAATACTAACAGCCTCATTTCTCCAAAACCAGTGTTGAGGGCAGTGGGTGACAGGGGCTTTGGATTCAGGCCTCCCATGTTGAGATTCTGACTCTGCTGCTTACTGGTCATGAGACCACGGGATAGGTATGTAGCCTGAGTTCCTCCCTTTCTATATCCATAAATGTGGATTATAAGTGCGCTGCATGTGTGAGGTCTTATAAAGATTAAATAAATGAACACATGTAAAGCACTTAGAACAGTGCCTCATATATGGAAGCAACAAATATTAGTTGAGCTCTTGTTATGAAGATTAAAAGATGGTGTTCCTGTTATGAGGGGAGGACTGCTCCCCTCATAGAGAAGTCCCTTCTATGTTCTATGTCCTCCACTTGGAGAGTTCTCTGTTACCACGGCTTAGCCACCACCCTAACTAGTACAGTCTGCTTTTCAGTTCCTGTTTCCTTCTCAGTTCTCTGGCCTCTGAGAACTGTGGAAGGTGACAGAGATGAACAAAGAGACTATTAAACCTCTTTTTGGTCGTTGGTGGGGGACTGAGGCCCAAAGAGGTCAAGTGGTGTGTCAAGAGGTCACACGCACAGATTCAGGACCCAGGGTCCTTCTGCACACATCCAGGAGTCCCTGGTTCCTGGCTGAGTCTCCTCCTTAGGGCCAAACTGCAGGCAGGGAGGCATGGGATGACTTACTCCTTTTCACCAGTCAGCTTGGCGATATATTTGACCTGTTCCCGGAGCTTGTTTCCTAGTTTCTCATTGGCAATCCTATAATAAAATTCACAGAAGAGAGAGAGTTTCCTAGACCCCTGTGAGCAAGAGTGCAAGTTGGCTGAAAAGGACATTGGGTGTTCTTGTCAAGGCTTCTGCTGGGCCTAGACCCCCGCTCCCCACTCGCTCCTCAGCCCCCAGAGCTAAAGCCTTCCTTGCAACTGGCAATGAAGAGGACTCGCTATCCTTCAATGGAAAACCACTGTGGTCCCAAGGGCGTTCAAGGGATCCAGGCAATGAAAGGCAGTAAAGTCTGTTGCCAGGCTGGTAAGAGGAAGTATCCCTTCTGTCAGGGAACTGCTCCATTTCTGGGTGGATGGGCTTTCTGAACCTGCCTGAAGGGTTGAGTCCCCTTCATCTTATTCCTAACTTTTGGGGCTAGGCTGAGACTGGATCAGCCTCCTAGGAGGGCTCTGTGTGTGTGTGTGACACTATTCTTTAGCACATGTGTGATTCCAGCCCTGAGAACCCTGCCTTACTGTTTTTTCCCTCACTTACTTCTGCTCTTTTGCCCATTGCTCCATGTTGGACATAATCTGATCATTCTCTCGGTGCATCCTGCAGTTGTCTTTGGGTGCAGACCGCTGGGGCAGGCAGGGCTTTGGCACAAGAAGTAAATGAGATAGTAAGGGGAGGGAGCGTAGGCCTATCACCTCCCGACTCCCACATCAGGCCTCCTCTCTTCCTGGGAGAGGAGACGTTGACTCTGCCGTCCAACCCCGAGGCTGGAGTTGGAACTAATGCAGCAGGACTTCTCTTCCAGCAGTGCACTGTCACAAAGGTGATTTCTCTGAGCAGATACCACTTATGCTAGAGACAGAGTAGGCTTGTTCCTTTATAATAATGATTTTCAGGGTATCAAAGTGACTTATTCTAAAAAAGCAGTATATTAAACATTTTTAAAAATGGAAGAAAAAATATCGGATAGCAAGAGCTGTTTTCTCCCCCCTAATTTGAGCAAAGGCCTGTAGTCACCCCGAGATATGTGGTGGCCTCCTGCTACAGACTTCATTGCTCAGAGAGATGGGCATGCCCACTGAGCTCTCAGCCAATTCTGAGGTGTCAGAAGGGGCTCGCTCTGGAGGGGGACGGACCAGTGATTACCTAAGTCAGGGGGCTGCTGGTGTACCTGACAGGGAGATGGCATTCTCTCTCCTCTGGATTGGGACCTTGGTTCTGCTCAATATCTCTATCAATAAAGTCACAGGAAGATGGTCGGGTTGAGACAGCAGCTGTGGGCCTTGAACACCCAGACCCTGCTTTGGTACTGAATGGGGAAGATGTCCTTTTCTTGCTCCCAGGCACTCCCGCCCCCAGCCCCACCCAAGGGTGTCTGTCACCCCATCTGTGGGATGTTCTTGGGGGTGGACTGTGGATGTTCTTGGGGGACAAAGTGATCAGAAGTCGAGGGGCACCCACCTCCTTCTCGTCCGCCAGGAGGTTCTCTTTGAGGGCGCACATTTCCTCCTGGAATGCCTTGAGCTGCTCCTCTTTAGCAGCCAGCATCTTGAGGTCACACTGGTGCTGCTTCTGCCACTGCAGCACCTGGTTGCTCATATCCTCCAGCTTTTTGTCGAAGGCTTGCACCTGCTCGGGAGCGCATGGTGAGGAGGGAGACCCCGGCCTGCCACCCAGATCCTGAGTATTCCCAATAAAGTGGGAGGGACCTTTCTCTGGGAGATTCGCTGGGAGTATTTTATTTCCGGCGGCCAGCAGAGGGCGACCCTGGTCTGATTCGTTGCCACCTTCCAGAAACCTGCGGAGCCCAGCAAAAGGGAGGGAGCCCAGCAAAAGGGAGCGAGTCCAGCAAAAGCGAGTGAGCCCGTTAATCAAAGGGTAGCTCAGGGCGAAGTGTACAGCTCTGAGTGAAAGAAGTGACCCTGGGCCCCTGAACAGGACAGCAGCCCGAGCCTTTGGCTGCTCCTCACCTCTAGCTCGCTCTGCTGCTGGAAGCCCTGCAGTTTTTTTAACTCCGCATTCAGCTTTTTCATCCTCTCTTCATAGGCAATGATTTCTTCTTCCAGCTGAAGTTTCCTGTCTTGGGCCTGTGTCAGGCTCCGGTGCAGATTCTTTGTCTCTGAGGTCGAATGATTGAGCTTTGATAAAGACAAAGATGTGGGGCGGGGGATGGAGAGTGGCTGTCATTGTGCTTGGGCCCTCTCTGCCGAGACCTGAATGGGGAAGGGTTCTACGCCCCCTACCCTCTTCTCCCCAGGGTGGCAGAGACACCCAGTCACCTTGATTAGTGTCCCAGAGAGGGGTGAGAAGTGACAACGGTCAGTCTTCTGCATCTCCCCTTTCGCTCTCCCATTTCCTCTCTTTCCAGTTCTATGAACTGATCAGCCAGGGGTGATCAGCACAGGGGGTAGGGCATGAATTTCCCTGAAAACCCAGGAATTGGGAAAACCTTGCCCCAGTCACCCCATGAGCAGAAAGACTTGCTCAATTTGGCCTCTATCCCCTTCTTCCCCAAAGCCTCACTAAGAAGCAAGACTTCTCTGGACAGACATCCCCGCCGATGCAAGGGCTTGCCGATGGCCTTGGTGACAGCTGGTCATGCAGGAAATCGACTCCTGCACCTCTCATGCTACTGGGGAAACTCAGATATTAAACAGCCCTGGGATGGGTGGTGCTGTTGGTAAAGACTCTGCCTGCCAATGCAGGAGACTTAGGAGACATGGGTTCGATCCCTGGGTTGGGAAGATCCCCTGGAGAAGGACATGGCAACCCACTCCAGTATTCTTGCCTAGAGAATCCCATGGACGGAGGAGCCCGGCAGGCTACAGTCCATAGGGTCACACAGAGTCAGACATGACTGAAGTGACTTAGCACACATCTCTTAGGAGATGAGAGGGTGTAGCCCACCTTCTCCAGGGCTTGTGTGAGGTCGTCCTGGCAGCAGGCTGACTTCCGGCATAACTCCTCATAGACGTCCTTACTGATCATGGTCTGGAGGTAGTGCTTCTCTTTCTCCCCAGCCTTGTCTAGCTGAATCTTCAGACTCGCTATGGTCTCCTTCTGAGAGGTTATCTTTAGGGCAGGGGAACATCACTGTCAGAGTTCATGGTCATAGAGGCATTCTCTGTGTTCACAGAAGATAAACAAGCACCGGTCTCTCTCCTCTCTGCACCAGCTTGCCAAGCAGTCTGTGATAATGCTCACTTCCCCTCACCGTTGTAAGAGGAAAAGCTGCTTTCCCAAGTCTTTTGCACTCCTCTCCCCAAACTTCCTTTCTATTGATAGTTAGCACATCCCCCCAATACAAGGAATATTGGAAGCACTGGGCCCTGATGTGGCAAGCACATGAAAAGTCTCTTTCACAGACTTCACAGCTTTGATGCATGCCAAGCAAGCATGCGTCCTACATTCGTAACTGGATGGTTTCTGTTAACAGCTGATTGTCTCATGGTTAGAGTCAAGATTAGGGTTAACCTGGAATTCAATTCTGTGTGAATTATGCCTCAGTTCCTGACATAATCCATCAGACCTAATGCACCATGAATGCAGGACTGTGTGTGCTTTCTTCATCACTGTGTCCCCATTACCCAGAGCTTAGGGCATGCCACACTAAACAGGTGCTCACTAAATATAGCAAATGATTTGTTTAGACTGAAAAATATTGTATTGGGCAACATGAAGGATGAATTGAACATGTAGTTCTGACAGAGTGTGTTTAAAATTGAAATATGGACTATTGATGAAAGGAAATGCAGTTTAGAACACAAAACTAAGCCTCTTTCTAAGGGTTGTTTCCAGTAATTCAAAAGGTCTATTTTATGTGGGGTGTGTGTTAAGAAAACGGAAAGTGCTAATACACCCAGAGCCCTCTGGATTCCCATCAAAGGAATTCTGAAATTAGTGCTGCAGGTTGTATATTTACATAACTAACCTTCTTTTGGCAAATGTGATAACATGTGTACTAAGTCACCTCAGTCATGTCTGACTCTTTGCGACCCCATGGACTGTAGCCCACCAGGCTCCTCTGTCCATGGGATTCTCCAGGCAAGAATACTGGAGTGGGTTGCCGTTCCCTCCTCCAGGGGATCTTCCCAACCTAGGGATCGAACCTGCATCTCTTATGTCTCCTGCATTGGCAGGCAGGTTCTTTACCAATCGCGCCACTTAGGAAGCCCAAATGTGATAACAGGCCTATATTAAATATTTAGGCAGTATTCCTTATATTGAGAGCAGTTCCTTGGGGATTTGCATGATTCAGACCTCAAGTCTGGATCACACTAGAGGAGACACAAAATTCCAGAAACATCTGTGCCTCAGACCTCTGCTGTTTAAGATGGCAGCCATTAGCCACATAAGACTATTGAAATTTAAAGGAAACTAAAATTGGTGAATATTAAGCTTATAAAGTTCCTCAGTCCTACTAAGCCATATTTCAAGCACTCAATAGCCACATATGGCTAGTGCATGTAGTATAAAGTAACTCTAACATAGAACTTTTCCATCATCACAGAAAGTTCTACTGGGTAGTGCTATTCTTACACTCAGAATAGTCATAGTATTTTAAGGTGATTTTTTTTTTTTATGAAGGAATCAGAGCTGCTTGGTCTCTCATTTATAATTCAGGAGACCACTTAATAAAGATGCTGTATTTTTTTCTGGGCCAGAAAGGTGGAGTATTGCCATTCATGATGAAGAGAAAAAAGAGGTTTGGTGCGACAGGCAGATGATCCAGGTTCAAACACTGCTCCATCCCATCACATACTAATTAGTCAGTTTGAGCCTCAGCCTTTCTCTCCTCTGTAAACCAGCAGAGGGAAGCCATGTAAAGGACTTAAGTAGACAGTCAGTCAGTGATGACTGAATGTGAGCCCAGAGCCTCACATACATTAGAAGCCAGTGACTCCTTTTTGTCTTTAATTCATGTAACAAAATAGAACCAAGTCCTCTTCCACCTCATTTTTTTGTGCTTTGGGACTATTTCTGGAAGTGTTCCCTAGAAAATTGCCCCCAAACAATGGGTTCTCCCAACTCTGGTCTAAAAGATAACTCTGGAAGACTTGATGCCAAAGCACAGATGGTTTGAGGCTTCACCAGATATTAAGACCTTCCACAACTGGAAGAGATCCTTCTCAGCCAGCAGGTGGGTTATGGAAGCATACCCCACTTCAGGAGAGAAGTGGGGCCTCAGGCACCCCAGAATGCTCAAGGACTGGGCAGTTAGTGGCATTTCTGTGATGCAGAAGAGCTGGGTGCCAACTTAAGGGTCAAGAGTCACAGGGCTCAAATTTCTCACCCCTTTGGGGTTTCTGTGTACTCACCTTATTAGTCAGCTCCTCGTTGACTTGCTGGGTGCTGTTTTGTTTGGAGAGCGAGGTGTCCAGTTGTATACTATATTGATTTACCTGTGACTTGAGGTTATCATTCTCCTCCTCCATCTTTCTCAGATTCTCCTTGGACTGCTCCCGGATTAAGGAATAACACCCAGAATGGAGGCGTTACTTCAGACACCCAAAGAAGCCCCTCCTTCTCTGCCCTCAGGCACAGCTCTGCGCTTTGCCTGGTGTATCTCAGGCCTTCTCTCTCCCCCTCACGTGTCTTTCTCACCTTCCCGCCCTTCTCTCCTGAGGTCTGAGTACCCTCAGCCTCTATATGCCACCAGGCCATGTAGGGCTCAGGTCCAACTCTGGGATTCTTAACCCTGAGTCTTCCCAGATTATCCTCACCATCTTTTCTTTCCTTCTTCCTTCTAGTCGGAATGTCTCGAACTCTTGCTCCACTAACTTCTGCTGATCTTTGCTCTTTTTCAGCTGCTCCTTTTTCTCCTCCAGCAATCTGGTTACCTCCTGAAGTTGTTCTTCTAGACTGCTTTTGGAGGAGGCTTGCTCCCTGTTCTGAGAAAATAAACACTGGGCTGAAAGTCAGTGTTAGACACCATATTTAGGGGCCGGGGGGAGTGGAAACCAAACCCAGGCAACTGTTCACAGAGATGACTGAAATAAATATAAGGACAACTGCTTGGTAATTTAGCATGTATAATAAAAAATTCCCTCAGGTTGAGCAACATTTTTTTTGGTTCAATTAGATATACTTTCTACTTATAGATACAGGTCTCACTTATTTACTAAGACTTTCCACATAAAAACCTCTTTGAAGAAATTTTTTAAAAATTGTAGAAAAATACAAAAAGAATAGTTCAAAGTTAAAAATTTAAATTGATGAGAAGGAGAGCTTTTGAGTCCTAGAAAAAGAAATAATATTGTCCTTTTGTTTTTAAGCTTAGCCCTTGAAAATGCTTATTGGTTGTGGGAACTGGAGCCGACTGGCTGGCTTGGCAATTCTAACACAAATTCTGGACAAGTAGTTTGCAATGGATTGGTGGTAGCATCTTCCCAAATAAAGAACAATGCAATTTTTTTTGGCCTTGCCGCTGGGCTTGTGGGATCTTTGGCTTCCGACCAGGGATTAAACCCAGTCCCTCAGCAGTGAGGGAGGGGAGTCATAACCATTGCACTGCTGGGAAATTCCCAAGAGCTACGCATTTAGTCTTAAACGGAGCCAGTGCTTGAGCTGGCCACCTGCTTGCCCTCCGTACCTGGTGTTGAATGTGGTTTATACGATCTAGCTGTTCGTTCAGTTTTACATCTTGCTCGGCCAGTGTCTTCTGAAGCTGCCTCTTTTCCTTCTCTGAAATTTCAAGCTTTCTCGTGACCTCAGAGAATTCTAATGTCAGCTCCTCTATCCGTTTCCTAAAGCAAAATGCCAACAAACAAACAAACACAGGTGGCTGGACTTCAGGGTCTGTGTCAGTGGACTGTGGGCTGGCTGCAACAGGGCTTGCTGCCCCACTCTTGGGCAGCAGCCCACAGTGCCCAACTGGCTCATGGGGGACAGAGCCTCTGTCTGGAGGGGGACCTGCGATACCTGCTGGGGGCGAGCTCCTCCTCAGCTGTCAGGGAGTCCTTCTGCAACTTCTGAAGCTCCCTCTGGAGCTCCTGGATGGTCTCTGCCTGCTGCTTCTCCAGGCAAATACAGCTTTGCAGCTTCCTCTGGCAGTCCTCCAGGCTGTCATTTGCCATAAAGGCCTCTTCTTTGTAGTCAGCTGCTTGCTGAGCTGCAGAAGACAGGAGATGACCCCTGGGGTGTGTCCACGTGTGAGAGGAGTATGTGTGAAGATTGGACTCTCAGATGAGGCCAGTTTAAAAAAGTCTGCTCCTTCATGTTGTGACTTACTTCAGTTTCCAATCTGTCCTCCTCTCTCTCTATTTCATTATCACTCCTGAAGAGCTTGGTTAAATTATCTGTCTTCAACCTACCCACTAGCCATGAACTTTTTCTTAAGTTAGATAAATTAGTAAAAATTGCTCAGTATCTGTTTTGCGACTCACCCCGTCATTGGGGACAAATCCTGACCTCATGGAGTTTAGCTGTACCTTGTTCACCTGATGTAGAGAACACAGTAATGTTAAACTCACACTGACTGTGAACTCAGGAAGCAAGATCAGTGTGGGTAAGTAGAGCCAGGGCCTTAGGAGAAGGAAGAGAAAGGTAATTATTGGTCGTGGGGTGGAGGTGGATTGTTAGAGGAAATGCACAGTGAAGGGAAGAGGCGGGCATGTCTGAAGAGGATGGGAAGGTACCAGTTTAACTGGAAAGTGAGAAGGAATGGTGGGAGACAGTTAAGTGCATGGACTCGAGGCGCATTTTGAAGAAGGTTGAAAGGCTGAGAGAAATATTTAGACATGATTTAGTGGGTTCTTGAGCAGGGACCTGCCATAAAGGAAAGAGTGTTTTAGGAAAAGCAGAATGTCTTAGAATGGAGAAAGATTTCTCATAATATCCTTTTAGCCCACGTCCTTGTCTACACTGGGTATGGAAGAAGAAGCACTCAAATAAGTTGTTTACTGGAGTTTCTCAACACCAAATACCTCCCCACTTCCTGCCATTTTTCCTATCATTTCTACATGAAATATCACTCCTCTCTCCATTTTTTGTATTTTTTTTTTTTTTTTTTTTGCGGGGATGGGGGGTGGATGGGCTGGAATACTGGAAGAAAGATGGTGTCACCATGGAAATAATTATATACCCAGAAGAAGGGAGGAGGATTTTTTTTCCAACAAGGAAGAGAGCAGGTTCAGCTTTGGGAACGTTGGGTTAGTCGGGAAGGTGGATGCGGCTAGTCTCTGAAGGCAAGACTGACGAGGCGCCATGTCAGGGCTGGGGCTGCAGGCGTTGGAGTTCCCTGCAGAGGAATGCGGCCACAAGGAGCGGAGGCGCTCACCAGCAGAGGGAGAGGAGAGACAGCGGAGGGTGGGGTCTTAGAGATGGGTGACCAGGGTCAGGGCAGGAGGGAAATGAGGTGAGACCTGTGGAAGAAAGGGTCAGATCTGTGGAAGAACGAGGGACCTGTCGTGTCTCCAAAGCTAAGAAACAACCACTGAGGTGTGGGGGCCAATGGCGTGGACATACACAGAGTTAGAGGGGGGTGAGGAAGGACACAAGCTTTGAACTTTTTTTTTTTCCAAAATTGATCCATTGCTCACATAACATTTATCCTTTTAAATTGTATAGTGCAGTGGTTTCTGGTAAACTCACAAAATTGTGTGACCAGGAGCATATAGTTCCAGGACATTTTTTTATCACCCCCAAACAACCCATATCCCAGTCCGGAAGTTACTAGTGACTTCTGAGAAAGCACTTTCAGCAGAGGGGCAAGAACATAACCCACACTCTAAGTGAATGTGTTTGAAGGCCAAAAAAGGAGAGAGAGAGTTAAAAAGCGGGGAGGGAAGAAGTGAGTGGTGTGATAGAGGTCCCGGAGAAGGTGGAGGGGAGTGTGGTGCAAAGAAGCAGGGTACAGAGCTCTGCGCTCCTGTGTGGAGGAAAGGAGAGGCTGCCGAGAAGGCGTGGGCATGTGAGAGCAGCAGTCTGCCTTCCCAGCCTGAGCACCTGCTACGTGGTGGGCGCTTCAGAGGGAAGGTATGGTTGGGGTGAGGAAGGGGCTTAGAGGGCGGTCCTAACTGCTGTGAGGTGAGATGGGATCCCGAGGCGACCGGAGTGAGAAAGTGGAGAGGGAGAGGGACATGGCCATCTGGAGAGGGGAGGGGACTGCTCTGGTCCAGTGGGTTGGAGGCAGTGGGGCAGTGCTTGCCCGGGGCCTCACCAGCCAGCCTCTGCTGCTGTTTGGCGTCTTCGAGACAGTCCTTCAGCTTCTTGATCTCAGCTCGCAGGTGCCCGTACTCGACCTTGCACTTGTCCTGCCTCTCCTCCTGGATGGCGATTTCCAGCTCGTTTGTCATGCACTGCTGCTTCTCCAGCTCCATCTCCTTTTTCACGAGATTGTTCTGAACCTGCGCCAGCTCCTTCTCTAGCTCGTGCAGCATTTCGTCTTTCTCCTGGAGGAGCTGAAGAAAGTGAAGTGTTAGTGCTGATGGAGGCCTGAGGAGCAGCAGGGCCAAGTCAGCTAGAGATCGCCTTGAGCCTCCGTCTTCTTTTGTCTGGATGTTGCAGTAGCCTCCACCTGGGCTCCCTGCCTCCCTTTTGGGCTATTCTCTGACAGAGAATAGCAGCCAGAGGTGGGCTTTCACAAATGCGAGCCAGAACTTGTTATGCTTCTGTTCAAAGCCTCCACTTGGTCCACCTCATGTGGAAAAAGGCCAAAGTCCTTACAAAGACCTCCTGGGATGCTCACGATCTGGTACTTGGCTACCTGTCTGACTTTACCTCTTGCCACCCCACACTTGCTCTGCTTCTCAGCTCACTCCTGCCTTAGGGTGCCAGCCCTTGCTATTGCCTCTGCCTGGAATATTCTTCAGGATCTCAGCCTGGGTGGCCCTCTTTCTTCATTCAAATTTCTGCCCAAATGTCACCTTATCAAGGAGGACCTTCCCTGACTACCCTGGATAAAATAGCCACCAAGTTGTTTTATGAATTCCTTAGTACCTAACATTTTATTGTATGTTTTGTTATTTGTTTGTTGTCTGTCTCTATAGACTAGAACACAAGCTCCATGAAAGTAGGGATGACACATGTTTTATTATATTCTTCATGCCTAGAAGAGTGCTTGGTGTATCATAGAAATTAAAAAATATCTGTTGAATGAACATATGAGTGACTCAAAGATGTTTATCCAGACTCCTCACTTCCTGCTGTCATCCCTCCAAACATCTCCATTTAAAAAAAATTAATTTATTTTTAATTGGAGGATAATTGCTTTACAATATTGTGCAGGTTTCTGCCATACACCAATGTGATTCAGCCACTGATATACGTATGTCCCCTCCTTCTTGAACCTCCCTCCAACCTCCCACCCCATCCACCCCTCTAGGTTGTCACAGCGCTGGTTTGAGCTCTCTGAGCCACTACAGCAAATCCCCACTGGCTGTCTGTTTTACCTATGGGAGTGTATATGTTTCCATGCTGCTCTCCCAGTTCATCCCGTCCTCTTCTTCTCATCCTGTGTCCAAGAGTCTCTTCTCTATGGCTGTGTCTCCACCAGTTCAGTTCAGTCGCTTAGTTGTGTTCCACTCTTTGTGACCCCATGGATTGCAGCACTCCAGGCTTCTCCGTCCATCACCAACTCCTGGAGCTTTCTCAAACTCATGTCCATTGAGTCAGTGATGCCATCCTACCATCTCATCCTCTGTCATCCCCTTCTCCTCCTGCCTTCAATCTTTACCAGCATCAGGGTCTTTTCCAATGAGTCAGCTCTTCCCATCAGGTGGCCAAAGTACTGGAGTTTCCACTTCAACATCAGTCCTTCCAATGAACACCCAGGACTGATCTCCTTTATCATGGACTGGNAATTGTGTGGTAGTTTGAGCAATCTTTGGCATTGCCTTTCTTTGAGATTGGAATGAAAACTGACCTTTTCCAGTCCTGCCTGTGGCCGCTGCTGAGTTTTCTAAATTCGCTGATATATTCAGTGCAGCACTTTCACAGCATTATCTTTTAAGATTTGAAATAACCTCAGCTGGAGTTCCATCACTTCCACTAGCTTTGTTCGAGTGATGCTTCCTAAGGCTCACTTGACTTCGGATTCCAGGATGTCTAGCTCTAGGCGAGTGATCACACCATCGTGATTATCTGGGTCATGAAGATCTTTTTTGTACAGTTCTTCTGTGTATTACTGCCACCTCTTCTTAATATCTTCTGCTTCTGTTAGATCCATACCATTTCTGTCCTTTATTGTGCCCATCTTTGCATGAAATGTTCCCTTGGTATCACTAGTATTTTTGAAGAGATCTCTAGTCTTTCCCATTCCAGTTTTTCCCTCTATTTCTTTGCATTGACCACAGAGGAAGGCTTTCTTTTCTCTCCTTGCTATTCTTTGGAACTCTGCATTCAAATGGGTATATCTTTCCTTTGCGTCTCCACTGCTACCCTGCAAATAGGTTCATCAGTACCATCTTTCTAGATTCCATATATATGCGTTGCCCAGAGTGCATGTTTATTTAGGCACTCAGTCGTGTCGACTCTTTGCGACCCTCTGGACTGTACCCTGCCAGGCTCCTCAGTCTATGGGATTCTCCAGGTAAGAATACTGGAGTGTGCCACGAGAAATTTCAAGGAAGAGCTCAGAATTCCAGCCTGTCCCCCCCGCTTCCCGTGCGCCGCCACTCCCCCCCCCCAATCCCTTGGGCCCCCCCATGTCCTTCCCGGTGTCTAAAGCGCCGCAATCTCACTGCGCATGCGTGGGTGCTCTCCAAGCAACACTGAGGATGGCAGAGCCGCAGAGCCCGCTCCCGCCAGGCCTGTCTCGCACCTGCCATCTGGCGGTTTCAATCAGGGAGCTCCTCGCTTTACCTTGTCTTTCTTCAAACCAAGCTTCTGCGTCTCGGTGAACTGCGTCTGCAGCTCCTGCAGTCGCCGCTGTATGATGATGACCTCTTTATCCTTCCTCTCCACGTGGGCAGATGTCTCCTCCCGCAGCCCGTGCAGGTCCAGCTCTAGCTTCATCATGTCTACAGCGGGAGGAGACAGAGGGTTTCTTGCTCAGAGGGGCGCTCCGCCTTCCGGGGCTCCCCTCACCCCTCTCCGCCGCTGGCCCACGGTTTACCCTTCATGATGTTTTTCTTCTGTTCTGACACGGACTCGAGCTCCATGCGCAGATCCTTCACGAGGTTCTGGTACTCCTCCACGTGCAAGCACTGGCTGTCTTTCTGCTCCTGCAAGTGGTTCAGTATCTGGGCAGACGGAAGAAGAGCGGGGCGGGGTGAGGACCTGCGCGGAGAATGCGCCCTAGACCGGCCAGGGTCCAGACAGGCAAATCCGGAGGGACACAGAGTTAGAAGAACAGTTGCCGGGGGGGTTGGGGGAGGGAGGATGGGGAGCGATCCGTGATCGCTCGTGGATATGGGTCTTTTTTTGGAGTGACGAACATGTTCTGAAATTAGTGGTGATGTTTCCCAACTTTGTGAATATACTAAAACCCACTGATTTTACACTTTAAATGGTGAGTTTTCTGGTATGTTTGGAGAAGGAAATGGCAACCCACTGCAATATTCTTGCCTGGAGAGTTCCATGGACAGAGGAGCCCGGTGGGCTCCGTGGGGTCACAAAGAGTCGGACACAACTGGGTGACTAACACTTTCCTTGTATGTAATTACATCTCAATTAAAAAAGAGTAAAAAGAAAAAAAGAAGGATATGGCCGACTTCACCTGCTGGCACAGAATGGAATGTGCATAAAAGCCACCCCTTCCTTCTCGCCATACTCAGTGTCATTCATGAGGCGCTACTGTGTGTCAGGCACTATTCTGGGTGCTGCAAACACCACAGACACCAGTTCTTACCCCAGGGAGCTGACCTTCTGGTGGGGTGAGACAGACGAAGAGCATAAAGTAGTGGCTTACAGAAAACATGAAAAGCGGGTGAGTGCTATGGCAGAAACAGGTCAGCAAAAGGGGAATGGAGACGTATGGGGTGGAGGCGAGGTGTGCTGCAGCTTTAAATAGGTTGGATAGGTTAGCCTCAGTGCCATGGTGACCAAGGAGGAACAATTAGTTGTCTGGCCATGATGGGATGCTGGGGAGATAGTTGATGTGATTTCAGAGTTGACAGTGATGGTGGGCTGCACCATGAGGCCTGAGGGGAGCAGCTGCAGAAATGCAGGGCAGTCACGTAAGACCTAGGTGTGGGCCCTGCAGGGCCAACTGAGGGAAGAGAGGTGGCTGGCCCTAGGTGAGATGTGAGTAGTTCCAGTCCTAACAGAATATTTACATAATGGCTTTGGGTAGGATATATCAAATGGTACGGGAAACTGGATTCTGTTTCTTGAAGAAATCTCTACCTTTAAAAAAAAAACGGAGTGTTAAAGAATTATTTGTGCTTAGTAGATATAGAGTTTCAGTTTTGTAAGGTGAGAAATTTCTAGAGATTTATTGCACAATAATGTGAATATACTTAACTAACTGCCCATTTAAAAATGGTTGAGGTGGTCAATGTAATGTTATGTTTTTTTTTTCCATTATGAAACATTAAAAAGTGAGCGAGGAATAAAGACATTTCTCAAACATGGAGTGTGTGAGATCTTGCTATATGTCAGGATGTGAATAACGTGGGACTGACCTTTAAAATATATGTTGACAGATGTACAAGGAGAAATTCCAAAGTTCATCCAGACTCTGTGGAAATAGAAAGTCCTGGGAAAAGATGCATCTCTGTTCCCCAACCAGGGGATCCCTTGGAGAGCTAATGTGTGTTGACTCTCTCTGCCACTTCTCTTTACCACTACAGTATTCAGCATCGGCATGGCCTCATGTGGCTGGGCTTTATTTCACATCTCAAATTTAGGCGTGACTGACTTCAAGTCCCCTAGAAGGGCCCCTCGCCTTGTTTCCACTATTGTATTGGTTGGTCAATTTGATTTGTTTATATGGCTTAAATGCTTTTTCATTATTTGAATCAACTTTTGAGATGGCTTTGAATTTTGAAAACATAAGAGTTTTTAAAAAGGGAGTGAGTTTGAATTAATAATCTTCCCTAAATTTGTTCCTTTTCAATTTCAGCCAGAAACCAGAAGGCTGGATGATTCTTTTGAATCTAGAAAGCCAACAGGAGTCTCTGTCTTGTTTAGCTATACCGTTGGACACAAATGAAGAGATAGGTTCAATGCCAAAATTCAATTTCAAAATCTAATCATGCCAGACACATTCCTTGGGTACATTATATACAGTATCCTTATGGGAGGGCTGAACAAAGTGAGGCAAATATAGAATAAAATATAAAATGTAGTATAAAAATTTTAATAAGAAGGAGAACCCAGAATCAAACCCAACTCAGCCCATCCCATCAGGCACAAATAGGCAAATTTCTCCCACCTTTTTGATGTCTTCACAATCTTCTGAGGAGCTAGGGGGGTGTCGGTGGGTGGCTGTATAGGAAGCAAAGTCTGCTTGTAATTTTATCAAAGCCTCTTCACGCTCCAGAACCTGCAATGTAGCACAAATCAGTTACGCTGGATCATCAACGCAGCTGGCTTGTTACTAGTGCTATTTTTGCAAGTTGTTCCTTTGTCAGCCCAAGTTTACTACAGCACTGTGTTATTCATATTATATAAACTAGGGATAAAGAATTATGTTTTCAGTCTTATATCAAGGCTCACTAAAGCACAGACAGTGGTTTTTCTCGAGTCCATCAATGGCCACACTTTGGACCCCCTCTTGATCCTCTCTGTGTTGTCCAGTTTATGAGGCAGAAGAAGATTCTTTGGAGGCTGTGATGAAAAGATGTACTGAAGATACAGCAGATAGGATTCAAAGTTCAAGAAGTAAAGAAGGAAACTTCTTATGGATTGAGTGAATATGTATGTTTTTTAAAATTAAAAAAAAGTGCAATTTTAGTTCTTGTTTCTTGAAAATAATTCAAATAGAACCCAAGCATCAAAAATAAGAAGTGAGGGACTTTCCTGGTGGTCCAGTGGCTAAAATTCTGAGGTCCCCATAAAGGGGGCCTGGGTTTGATCCTGGTCAGGGAACTAGATCGCACATGCTATAACTAAGAGATTGCATGATGCAACTAAAAATCCAGTGTACCACAAATAAGACCCGGCACAGTCAAATAAATAAATACTTCAAAAAAAAAAAAAAAGAAGTTAGACTCTCCCATCCGCTTATTGTCTTCTTTCTCACTTCTACTAAGGAGGAGGAACACTATTGGTAATTTACAGTAGGGGTCCCCGACTTTCAGGATCTAATGCCTGATGATCTGAGGTGGAGCTGATGTGATAGTAATAGAAATAAAGTGCACTCGAAAATAAATGTAATGCACTCGAATCATCCTGAAAGCATCTCCACCCCCTCCCCATCTGTGAAAAAATTGTCTTCCAGGAACTGGTCCCTGGTGCCAAAAATGTTGGGGGTTGCTGATATATACTTCTATATTATGATCAAATACTTTAAAAAATAAAAGCTGGATTGGACTCTACACAGGATTCTGAAACTTTTTCTCAATAATATACCACAAATATCCTTCCATGCAGCCCTTACAGATCTATTTAATCCTTTCCCTTGGCATATTATTATTCCACAATATGGATGTCTCTTTAATCATTTCTCTTAATCTCTTTAACTGTTTCCTTGCTGATGGACTCCTTGGTTGGTGAGTGAGATTTTAAGTCTCTTTTGAATCTCAGACTTAGTGTGAGTTGGGGATGCACACCGAGGAGAATATGAACAAGAGGCAGGGGCACGTATATGTAAGACATGTGAGGAGTGCTGGTAAAGAGATTACTTTAGGTGACTCTTTCCCCTCCTCCCTTTACTCAAGACTTTATTTTGGGTCTCTTGGGAAAATGTTCTAGTAGGAGACACTTACCAAAGCGTTACTGCAGGCTAGCTTATTTCGAAGTTCCTGTATTAGATCATCCTGTTCAGAGACCTTTTGCCAGACTTCAGACAATCGTTTCAGGGTCTCCTGATGCTCTTGAATCATGCAGGGAGAAGTGTATATACGCACCTTTGAATGATCACCCTTGTTCTCAGGCTCCTGGGATATTTAAAAGTGATAGGTTGATTTTGAGCCAATTTTGGAGTCAATTTCAGAATGCCATGAGCATGAACAATCTCTAGACCTATATTCTAGAAGTTTATGTTCACATATATGGTTCATATATGTGAATCAGATCTTCCAGAACAAAAGACAAAAATTAAAAAGAGCACATACAATAAAAAGTTCAAATGGTTCACAAGAGAATACACTGAGAAGTAAATCTTGACCCTCCGTGATCCAGGTCCCGTTTTCCATGATGGTCTACTTTACCAGTTTTTTGTATATCCTTCTGGGGATACTTAATGCATATTTATTTATCATTTATATATATGTATGTAACCCCTTACTCTTTCCCCACCCAAGTGAAAGTCTTCTGCATATTATTCTAAACATTTATTTAGGGTATTTTCCATATTGCTACTTGTAGATCTATCTTATTCTTCTTTTAAAATGAATTTCAAACTGCACAATACACACGCACACAAATATAGATAAAATCCTTACAGAACACTGTAGGGACTTTCCTGGTGGTCCAGTAAGAATCTGCTTTTCAATGCGGGGGACTCAAGGGTCAACCTCTGGTTGGAGAACTAAGATCCCACATGCCAAGGGGCAAGTAAGCCTGCATGCCACAACTAGAGAGAAATCCATGTGCTGCAACAAGGAGCCTGCATGCTGCAGCTAAGACCTGCCAGCCAGACAAAAACAAAAACAAAAAAAAGCAAACACCAAACTGCCCCACCCCAGACCTCTAAAATGAAAAACACTGTAATATTACAGGCAAGTCTAAATTTCTCTTTGACCACCACCTCTAATCCCATACTTACTGCATTCTCCAGAGATGATAACTTGTGCATATCTTTCTAGAACTTTATCTATACATTTACATATATACAAATGAATATTGTAGAATACAGATATTATTTTCACTTTTTGAAACATAAATTTTTTCTCAACAAGATGTCTTAGAAATTTATCTATGTTGGTACACATGCCTTTATCTTGGCTATTTTAAATTGCTTTTAAATATATTTATCTAGTTTCCTATTGATGGGAATATATGCTCTTTTCAAGTTTTTTTCTAAAATGAAGCTGAAATGAATATTTTTACACATAAATCTTTGAGTAGCTATTTTAGTTTATGTGTAGATTAAATTTGTATATGTATTATAGGAATTTATCTAAACAGGGTCTATTTAAAATTTTGATAGCTGTTGCATGATTATCCTTTAAGGAAATTGTACCAATTGACTCTCTCATCAACATGAATATGCCTGTTTTCCTAGAACTGCATTTTTTATTTTTAAATGTCTTTCTCTAGATTATCTGAAATCATGCATGAAGGTTACTACCTGTTCACTGGTCTGCACTAATAATGGGGTGAACTGATGCAGAGAAGCAAAAAAGAGCAAAAAGGTCCTAGTTTGGATGGTAGATCCTTTCTCCATTAAACTATCTCTCTAACTGGGCTTTTTCAGGCAAAGTTAGAAATAGTTCATGTTCAATGAGCATGAAAGTTGCCCATGAGTATATAAATAATTCAGTGTCTACGTGGAAAAAGGAATGGGGAACAATAAAAAAGTTAAGAAACAGAAAGATGATATCTACAGATTACAATATTTTAATACTGACAGTATGAAAAATAGAAATTAATTTTAAAGTAATCAAAGAAAAATTCCTGGAATTGAAAAAAATATAGATCTTCAGATTCAAAGGATCAGTGTTGAGAGACTTAATGAGAAATAAATTTTAAAAAATCCTGAGCCTAAAAACCTCTAGAGTTCAAAGAGATAAAAGAGGTGACTCACACAAAATGAGAAACAAGTTGAAAACTAACAATTCCTCTTTAATACTGCATGGTATAATACAACACAGCTATAGTTTTCTAAGACTTAGTTGTAAATCTGTATACCTAATCAAAATAGCATTCATGAATGATAAACCTTGTTCAGACATGGAAATTTTGAAAATTTTTACCATTCACTGTTGTTTCTGAAAGAATTAACAAGGAATTACTGCAGCAAAAGGAAAAGTCCAAGAATGCAGAAGAGGTGGAGTATACCGCTTAGTGAGTAAAAGTTGGCTTTATTTGTAATCTTAAAGAAATGTACATTTTTTCTGTCATATAACTAGCTCAAGAAATTAAAGAAAAGATGAAAAATTTTCAAATTCATTTACATTAGGGTAGCATAATCCAGACACCAATATGAGATGAGAACACATAAATTTAAGTCATCAAAATAATCTCACTTCTGAAAATAGATAAAAACTAAATGCTAATAAACTTATAATAGCAGTTTATTATAATTTAAGTTTATTATGATGTATATTATTTTAATTAAAATTAAGTTAAATTATTTAATTAAAATAATAACATATATCAAGGAGGATTGGTTCCAGGAATGTAAAGATTGTCCTGTAAATGAAAATCTATTAATTTATTACACTTCATTACAGGAAAAAAACTCTATGATTACTTTTATAGGTGCTAACAAAAACATCCAATAAAATCCAGTATCTATTCCTGGTAAAAATTCTTGATAAGCTATGTAGAGACAGTTACATCTTTAACTTCAAAAAGGATATTAACAAGAATCCAAGAACAGGTATTATACTTAAAAGTGGAATATTAGAAACATTTAAAAATATGAGGAGCAAGGCAAGGATGCTACAATTCGACACTGATCTGGAGGTCTTAGTCAATGTTGTAAGATGGAAAATAAGTTGTATAAATGCCAACAAGGAAAGCAATTTAGGAAAACCTGAGATAGTCAACTAAAAATCTGGGAACAGAGCTCAAAAATAGCAGGATAAGAGTTTCTCTCTACATCAATAATAATTAATAAAGTTAAATGTACAAAAGAGCTCATTCATAAAACAATAACTGTAATACATCTAAGAATAAACTTAAGCAAGAAATATGTGAGATCTATAAGGAAAAGTGTAAAATCTTACTAAAGGATACACAAGAAGCCTTGAATAAAAGTAGAAACATATCATGTTCTGTGTGTGTGCGTGCTAGGTCACTTCAGTTGTGTCTGACTCTTTGCGACCTCAGGGACTGTAGTCCACCAGGCTCCTCTGTCCATGAGATTCTCCAGGCAAGAATACTGGAGTGGGTTTCCACGCCCTCCTCCCAGGGATCTTTCCAACCCAGGGATCAAACCTGTGTCTCCTGCATTGCAGCCGGATTCTTTACTGCTGAGCCACTGGGGAAGCCTGTCATGTTCCATAGGGTATGATAATTTCCCCCAAATGAATATAAAGTTTGAAAGTAAGATAATATGAATTTCACCAAGACAAGAGATATAAAAATGACCAAGAAATATTTGAACATAAAGAACAGTGAAGTTGGACATGCCCTAAAAGGAGGTGTGAAAACATACTATCAGTTAAAGTTACTATTAAAAACAACTCTGATCTTGGTGCAGGAAATGGCAAGTAGATCAAAAGAACAGAGAATCCAGAAAGAGATAAGTATGTATTTTGAGCTAGCACTTCAAGTCAGTGGGAAAAGGTGGGGATGTTTCATAAGTGGAGCTGGGACAACTGGAGATCCATTTTGATAGACATAAAATTACAGCCTTCTCTCATTATTTATATGGGGCTTCTTGGCCTTGGGTCAGGAAGATCTGCCGGAGAAGCGACAGGCTACCCAGTCCAGTATTCTTGGGCTTCCCTTGTGGCTCAGCAGGTAAAGAATCAGCCTGCAATGTGGGAGACTTGGGTTCGATACCTAGATTGGGAAGATCCCCTGGAGAAGGGAAAGGTTACCCACTCCAGTATTTTGGCCTGGAGAATTCCATGGTCTGTATAGTCCATGGAGTTGCAAAGAGTCAGACACGGCTGAGCAACTTTCACTTTCACTGTCTTAGGTGAGTCAGTGGTAAAGAATCTGCCTGCAATGCAGGAGACAAGAGATTCAGGTTTGATCCCTGGGTGGGGAAGATCTCCTGCAGAAGGAAATGGCAACCCACTCCAGTATTCTTGCCTGGGCAATCCCATGGACAGAGGAGGCTTGCTGGCTACAGTTCATGGCGTCTCAAAGAGTTGGACATGACTGGACAGCGAAATAGCAACAACAGCAGCAGCTCATTATTTATTAATGAAATATATATACAATATATATATATAATACATATATTTTCCAGGTTTACTAAAGCTAAAAAACATAAAACTACAAAATTATAAAACTGCTAAAAGACAGTATAAGATAAACTTTTGCAATCTGGGGGGTAGTGAAGGCCTTCCTAAATAAGACATAAAACCTAGGATCTATTTAAAGAAGGGTTAAGAGATTTAGTTTCATAAAATTAAAAATTTTGTATGTTGAAAAATACTATTAACAAGAAAAAATAAAAATTACAAACTGGGAGAAAATATTTGTAACTTATATAATGAAGCATTATTACCTATAATATAGATATAGAAGAACCTTCTAAACCTATATCATAAAAGGTGTAGAACCATCTATGCTGTTGTTGTTTAGTTGCTCAGTCGTGTCTGACTCTTTGGACTCCATGGACTGTAGCCTGCCAGACTCCTCCGTCCATGAGATTTCCCAGGCAAGAATACTGGAGTGGGTTGTCATTTCCTTCTCCAAAGAACCTCCTATAAGTCAACACAAAAAAGGCTAACAATCCAATTAAAAAAATGGTTAAAGATTTAAAAGCAATTTGTAAAACAGAAATCCACAGGACCGATGCACTTATGAACAGGGCTCAATACTTTGTTCATGAGGTGGGCACTGTGACGTGCCTCCCTGATCCATTTCGGCAGTGAAAGGTGGCTCTAGCACCCCTCTAGCTGTAGGGGTGCTGCCCTAAGACACTTCAGTAGTCAGCCCTTCTTGGGGATTGCCTGGGTTGAAGAAAACATTTGCCCAAGGTCATGTCTTTCCCTAGGAAGACAACTCACATCCAATCACTGATCACCATGGAGGTATAAAGGCCAGCTCCCTTCTCCCCAGTTTATAATTGCTCTAGAGGTCTGTACAGTCTCAAAGCTTGCCATGAGGTTGACTAAGGCATTCGCTGAGACAGCGCAATGTTTCCTTCTGCCAAACCCTGCTTCCTTTCCCTTCATAGGAGCTGATGCCAAGATCTTTCTCTGAAAATGTCTGACATGCCAGTCTGTCTCAGATTCTGCTTCCTGGGGAGCTCAACCCACAATTATTAGAACTAAAGGAAATAAAAATTGTAATGATAAAATCTGTTTTATTTCCCCCCATCCATCAGTTTAACCCAACTTAAAGAGAATGAAAACATGCCCTGTGAGTGTGGGGGAATTACTGTTGGTCAAAGTGTAAACTGGTAGAACCTTTTTTAGTATTCAATATAGAATTATCTTTAAACATTAAAAATAGGCATTTCTTTTGACCCAGCAAAATCCCACTTCAGGAATTAACCCCTGTATGTGGTAGATAAACAGGTCAGTAGATGGCACAGGGTACAGTCATACTACAGAATACAAGGTAGTAACTAAAAGAAATAATCAAGAAAGAAAAGAAAAAATCATCAAGATAGACATTTAAAAAGCAAAGTGCAGAACCACATTTTTAAAGTGACTCATTTAGGTAAAAAGAAAACCTTAACATTTTATACATGTAAGTGTATAGCAGTAGGCTGGGGAAGATTGCCAGCACATTTTGAGTGACTGCCTAGGGGGAGAAGAGTGAGATGGACAAAGGCAAAGGTGAACTTTTACATTTAATCTCCATAATTCTGTCTAGAAAGCCTATATTGTTGTATTAGTTGTATAATTTTAAAAACCAATTAAAAGTAAAAAGAAACAGGTTTAGGCACTTTGGCTCTTCTTTGCTATGTTTCCTGATTTCTCCTCCTATTTGATTCTGAAGCTATGATTTGCATGAGTCTTGTGACTGAGAAGAGCCCCCATGGCAACATGGAAGATTTGGAAGCTCATTTGGTCATTTATTTTCTGCCTTATTCGAAGTGGTGGTTCCTTATATTATCTTTCCTTGTGACTCATACGGTAAATAATCTGTCTGCAATGCGGGAGACCTGGGTTCGATCCCTAGGTGGAGAAGATCCCCTGGAGAAAGGAATGGCTACCCACTCCAGTGTTCTTGCCTGGAGAATTCCATGGACAGAGGAGCCTGGTGGGGTACAGTTCATGCGATTCCAAAGAGTTGAACATACTTTCTTTTCTTCTCCTTATGTTAATTAAGGAGCCTTAACATTCTTAAGGAGCAATCTTACAAAAGATGTGAAGGCTTGAAGTTCAAAGCTGAGGGCCACAAAAGTCAAGGGGAGGAATGACAACTAGTTGAAAGTTTGGGTTTCTGACAGAGAGGGTGGAACCACTACAGGGACCACTAAGAGTTCCTGGTCCGAGTGGTCTGGTTGAAGTCCTACCTGACCGACGATCTCCCTGAGCTCCCCCTCCAACATCTTCACTTGGCACTGAAGTAACTCGATGTTGCTCAGGGAAGCCTGGTATTTATCCCTGTAGAGATTTAAGCTCCTTTCGAGGGAGACGATTTTGTCCCCAGCCAGGGCAAGCTGCTCCTGGGCCAAATGGAGCTTATCCCCTGTGTTCTCATTATGATTTCCCAGTTCTTCCTCATAGAGAATCACCTGTTGGTATAGGAAAGAAACCACACTGAACCCACGGAAGCATCTAATGAAGAAAGGATATGGCTATAACATAGCATGCAGAGGAGTCTTATATCTTAACTAGAAATGCAGATGCAAAGAATAGGCCCAGCACAGATCTAAAAGTTACAATACAGAAGCAGATCGCTAGTCCAGATTTGATGTATGAGATAAGTGCTCAGGGCTGGTGCACTAGGATGACCCAGAGGGATGGGATAGGGAGGGAGGTGGGAGAGGGTCCCGGATGGGGAACACATGTAAATCCATGGCTGATTCATATCAATGTATGGCAAAAACCACTACAATATTGTAAAGTAATTAGCCTCCAACTAATATAAATAAATGAAAAAAAAAGTTACGGTACATAAAATCAGAATGGTGATGATTAGAAAAAATTTCTAAAAAGATTGTCCTATTTGGATGGTAAGCTTCTTAAAGGCAGGGACCATTTCTGTTTCCCATTCTTCCTGGTATGCAGTTAATTCAATAAAGATATATTAGTTGATTAACAGGAATGAAAGTATAGCTCCATTTTTAAAGAGCTTGAGATGGCAGTATTATTTCTTTACTAGGTATTCTCTAGAGGTCTAATTTAGAAAATGTGGAGTCCCTGGTGCACACAGGTCTGCTTCAGCAAAGTTCCCTACAGACAGTGGAGGAATAGGACCTGAAGTTCCTGGGGAATTGGCATCCTCCTTATTTAGGCTCTTTTTCTTCCTAATCAGTTAATTAGTCAACCAATTGAGCAGATATTTATTGAATGCTCAAGAACAATGTCTTCCGTGCTTAGGGGTATTTATACTTACAGAGCACAGGCTCCTCCCTCACAGCATTTACAAACTTCTATTGGGGTAGATACAATTTAAAATTAGCAAACAGCTCTTGAGTGTGCTAAATTATATGACTTGCATTATATGTATTGAAGGAGTTAAGAGCAGGAGGCTCATCAAGGAGGGCTTTATTTGGGTTCAAATATTTCAGAATTCAAGTAGAACACATTCTATTGATTTAAGCTAATATATTTGCTGCCTGCCATTTGAGAGTCGTCTTAGGAAAGGATCATTTACTTTGAGGTGTTTATTAGGGGGAGGAAAAGAGAAAATGAATATTTTATATTCATATGTTTATAACAGAAGCTGTCAGGAGGCCTGCCTATACCCCCTTGACACTCACCACTCCTCTGTATGTTAACTCCCTTCCAACTGCAAGCATCCTCGGTTTTTTTTGCCTGAGGGATGCACTGGCCCCAGGAGCCCACTCTAGCCGAGGAGCAAGACAAGACAAGTGACAAGTACGGGGAGTTAACAATATCAGGTGCAACCTTCAACCAATGACTGGAACGATTGCCTGGGATCAATTTTCACTGTGTCCTACATTTTCTACTGGAGTTCTCCAGAGAGGTTGAACCCTGGTTTCCCACAGCAGTGATAATCTTTTTTTTTTTTTTTTTTTTAATGAATTTATATTGGAGGATAGCTCCTTTACAATGCTGTGTTAGTGTCTGCGGCACAGCAAAGTGAATCAGCTATATGTATACACGTATCCCCTCTTTTTTAAGCTTTCCTTCCCACTTAGGTCACCCACAGAGTACTGAGTAGAGTTCCCTGAGCTATCCAGTAGGTTCAGCAATGATCTTAATAGTAATTTTCTTTATGGGCTTCCTGCCCTTGTTCGACACACCTCCCTACTCTTTCACTGTGCTTCGTGGAATCACCTCCCTCCTGAATTAAATAGTGCTTACAGAGTCAGACATGACTGAGTGACTAACACTTACTTGTATCCACCTCTTTGTTTTCGGATCTGCTGTTGGGAAACCCAAATTTAGACAGAAGTTTGATACTTCTGTGAACAAAGTATTGGGGGAATTTGGCAGAGTGCTGAAAGTAACTTTCCCAGGACTTTCCCATATTGGGCTCTGTGTCCCTGACTGTTGCTTGCCAGATCCCACAACAAGTCCTCCTCTCCTCCTTGTAATAGAACCTTGACTTTGTTTGGGACAAAAGTGTGCCTCGCTAAAACACTGCATTTCTTTGCCTTCCTAAGAAATTGCTACAGCCATGTGACTAATTGCTGCCAGCGGTATACAAGTCAAAGTATTGTGTGCGGCTTCTCCAAAGTGTCCTTTAAAAGGGAGGAGTGTGGGAGGCGGTCCTAAAACGGTGCAGGAATAGGATGGGGAGACCACTTTCTCCCACACAAATTCATCAAAAGAACATTTGAACACCGAGCAAATTCCACTGAACAACTTCTGAACGCTGACAGAGGACATCAGGCACCCAGAAAGCCAGCCCACTGTCTTGGAAAGGAGGTAGGACAAAATACAAAAGATACAAAGAGAGACAAAAGAGGTAGGGACAGAGATCCGTCTGGGAAGGGAGTCTTAAAAAAGAGACAAGTTTCCAAACACCAGGAAACACTCCCTCCGGCGGGTCTGTGGCGAGCCTTGGAATCTCAGAGGGCAAAATAACCGGGAGGAAAAATAAATAAATAATTAAAACCCACAGATTACGNCCACCATGCCCCTTGTGGCAGGGCAGAAATTAGACACTGAAGAGACCAGCAAACAGAAGCTAAAATAAACAGAGGGAACCACTTTGAAAGTGACAGGTGCAATAGATTAAAACCCTGTAGTTAGCACCAACTATATAGGAAGGGGCCTATAGACCTTGAGAAGTACAAGCCAGACCAAGGAACAATCTGAAGATGAACTGACCCCACACTGTCCACAACAGCTCCAGAGAAAGTCTTAGATATATTTTTACTATTATCATTTTTAAAATTTAAAAAAATAAAAAAAATTTTTTTTAATTTAATTTTTTTATTTTTAAGTCCCCATTACTCCTTTAATTTTCATTTTTATAACCTACTATTACCTTGCAAAAAAAAGACCCTATTTTTAAAGCAAACTTTGTATATATATATTAAATAATTTCTGTGACTTTGTTTTTTTTGTTTGTTTGCTTGTTTTTTGTTTTTATTTATTTTTTCTTTTTTAAATACTGTATTTTTGGGAATGGTACCACAGTGAGGTACCATTTCACAGAATGGCTGCTATCCAAAAGTCTACAAGAAATAAATGCTGGAGAGGGTGTGGAGGAAAGGGAACCCTCTTACACTGTTGGTGGGAATGAAAACTCGTACAGCCACTATGGAGAACAGTGTGGAGATTTCCTAAAAAATTGGAAATAGAACTGCCATATGACCCAGCAATCCCACTCCTGGGCATACACACTGACAAAACCAGAACTGAAAGAGACACGTGCACCCCAATGTTCATCGCAGCACTGTTTATAATAGCCAGGACATGGAAGCGACCTAGATGCCCATCAGCAGACAAATGGATAAGAAAGCTGTGGTACATATACACCGTGGAATATTACTCAGCCATTAAAAAGAATTCATTTGAATCATTTCTAATGAGGTGGATGAAACTGGAGCCTATTATACAGAGTGAAGTAGCCAGAAAGAAAAGCACCAATATAGTATACTAACGCATATATATGGAATTAAGAAAGATGGTAACGAATACCCTATAAGTGAGATAGCAAGAGAGACACTGATGTATTGAACAGTCTTTTGGACTCTGTGGGAGAGGGTGAGGGTGGGATGTTTTGGGAGGATGGCATTGAAACATATATATTATCATATGTGAAATGAATCGCCAGTCCATGTTTGATGCATGAGATAGGGTGCTTGGGGCTGGTGCACTAGGATGACCCAGAGGGATGGGATGGGGAGGGAGCTGGGAGGAGGGTTCAGGATGGGGAACACATGTATACCCGTAGCAGATTCATGTCAATGTATGGCAAAACCACTACAATATTGTAATGTAATTAGCCTCCAATTAAAATAAATAAATTTATATTAAAAATAAGAAATTTATCAACTAATTACTAGGTGTCAGACATTGAACAAAACTAATATCATTTCTTCCCACATGGAACTTAGAATCTGTTGGAGAAAACACAGCTTGGGGCAGGGGCTGGGGACAGACAAGAACAAACAAACAGAAATATTCAGAAGCCATGATAGATGCCATAAAATAAAACAAATCCAGTGAGAGTTCATAGGAATTAAAGGCAGAGGGAGGCTGCCCTTAACATGCAGCATGAAGGATACAGTCAAACAGAGACCTGATAAGAGGCCTTACTTCACTCAGTTCAGTTCAGTTCAGTCACTCAGTCGTGTCCAAGTCTTTGTGACCCCATGAACCACAGCACGCCAGCATTCGACAAATAACTATTGAGCTCTTCCTATGGGCCAGGCATCATTCTTGGTGTTAGAAATAGAGAGGGTGGTGGGGGGGAGGTAGTGGTGGAACCAAAGAACTGGCCTCAAGGAGCTTGCATTCTGGAAGTGAAAAGGGGGCAGAGATGGTCTACAGTCTCTGAGGGTGTGGGAGTGGTGTGTGGGATGGAGCTGTATCTCAGGCCAAGGAACTAGCTGGTGGGAAGATCCTGCAGAGGTCAGCTGGCTATTTCGGGAACCAAAACAGGCCAACGTGGTGGGAGCACAGAAAGTGTAATGAAACTTGGTTGGAGAGGTGAACCGGAGGTAGATCATAGACAATTTCACAAGTCATGAAAATGAATTTAGAAGGTTAAATGAATATGGCTTATGGAAAGCACTTAGCATGAATTTGAATCGAAGTTGCTAAATCTAGGTTTAAAATTACTATGTGTGCTCAGTCATGTTCAATTCTTTGTGACTGCTTGGACTGTAGTCCACCAGGCTCCTCTGCCCATGGAGTTTTCCCCGGCAAAAATACTGGAATGGGTTGCCATTTCCTTCTCCAGAGGATCTTCCTGGCTTAGCGACCAAACCTGCATCTGCTGCTTTGGCAGGCAGATTCTTTACCACCGAGTCACCCGTGAATCCCTTAAAATTACTGTGCTGGGTAGTCATTTACCTGATGATTGAGCTCCACATCCATACCACCATCTTCCACATACATGAGCCATCTTCTTGAATCTGGAAATGCAAATACTTGTGCCATGTTATGTGCATTGTTTGCCCACAGGGCTGCTATGATAACAGTTACTTGGCAGGATCATGAATATGGGTGCATCCTGGGATGAAGGAATGGATTATAGCTTGTCTGGATCCCTAAAGTTCAGAGATCCACAAATCATAAAAGAAGAGATCTAATCAAAGGATTTGGGCCAATAGAGATCTATAGTAGCATCAAGAAACATACTTGGTCATTTATTCACTTATTATTTCCTCACTGGACAAATTGAAAGCTCATGCCCACAACAGTTTCCCCAAAGAAGACATGGACAATTGGACTAATACAATGTAATGTGATAAGCGTTATGGAGAGAGATGTGCTGTGGATGCTATGGGAATGTTTAAGAGAGCTACCTAACTCACAGTGGTAGGGGGGACGCTCTGGGAAGAATTCCAACTCAACTAACTTGACTTGTCTCAACTAAGTTTTCAAGGACTTCTAGGAGCTGGCAGCATAGAGAAAAGGAAGGGTATTCTAGGTAGAGAGAACTCCATGCCAAGAGGGATCAAGATGAGAGTGCATTGCCAGGGACAAGTCAGAGAAGTTGGAAAGGAAAATAGAGGTCAAGTCATAAAGGGGATTATAGTCCATGCCAAGGAGTTTGGAAGACAATGGAAAATCAGTCCATCATTTTAAGCAAGCGAGTGACCTACTATAACTTCAGTAATGAATAATAATAGTTAACACTCATTGGTTTCTTATTGTGTGGCAGGCATCCTTTTGACAATGTCACACACAATGACTCAATCTTTTCTGGAATTCTTTAAGAACTATTATTAGCACCCATTTTGTGAATGAGGAAGCTGAGGCACAGCTAATGTAGAAACTTTTCCCAAGAGGTTCAACTATAATAGTAAGTGGCTGAACTAGAATCCAAAATCAGACTGCTGACTCCACAGAGAAGCACTTAACTACTATGTGCTGTTGTGCTGTGCTTAGTTGTTCAGTCATGTCTGACTCTTTGTGACCCCATGGACTGTAGCCTGCCAGGCTCCTCTGTCCACGGGGATTCTCCAGAAAAGTATACTGGAGTGGGTTGCCATGCCCTCCTCCAAGAGATCTTCCTATGGATAGAACCCAGGTCTCCCACATTGCCGGCAGATTCTTCACTGTCTGAGCCACTAATGAAGCCCAAGAATACTGGAGTGGGTAACCTACCCCTTCTCTGGGGGATCTTCCCAACCCAGGAATTGAAATGGGCTCTGTTGCATTGCAGGTGGATTCTTTACCAGCTGAACTACCAGAGAAGACCCTTAACTACTATACCTGCTTAATTCCTTGTTACCCAAAGTGTGGTTTCTGGACTGTGGCAGCAGAATTAGCTGGAGCAAATCTTGGACCATGCCCTACACCTGTCAAGTCAGAAACGGAATTTTAATGAGATTCCCCAGATGATTTGCAGGTATATTAATGACTGAGAAGCACTGGCCTAACTCCCATGAAGGAACTGGGTCGGTGATGGACTGGAAGACGAATACCCCATCTTAAAAGGAATACTATTTTAGCTCCAGGTGATTGTGGGATGTTAAAATGTAAAAAGTCATGTCTGACTCTTTGTGACCCCATGGACTGTAGCCTGCCAGGCTCCTCTGTCCATGGGGATTCTCCAGGAAAGTATACTGGAGTGGGTTGCCATGCCCTCCTCCAAGAGATCTTCCTATGGATAGAACCCAGGTCTCCCACATTGCAGGCAGATTCTTCACTGTCTGAGCCACTAATGAAGCCCAAGAATACTGGAGTGAGTAACCTACCCCTTCTCTGGGGGATCTTCCCAACCCAGGAATTGAAATGGGCTCTGCTGCATTGCAGGTGGATTCTTTACCAGCTGAGCTACCAGAGAAGACACTTAACTACTATACCTGCTTAATTCCTTGTTACCCAAAGTGTGGTTTCTGGACTGTGGCAGCAGAATTAGCTGGAGCAAATCTTGGACCATGCCCCACACCTGTCAAGTCAGAAACTGAATTTTAATGAGATTCCCCAGATGATTTGCAGGTATATTAATGACTGAGAAGCACTGGCCTAACTCCCATGAAGGAACTGGGTCGGTGATGGACTGGAAGACGAATACCCCATCTTAAAAGGAATACTATTTTAGCTCCAGGTGATTGTGGGATGTTAAAATGTAAAGAGCACCAGCACCCCTCTGCAAGTTCATTTTTCATGCTTTTATGGAAGGGAAGGGATAAAGATTTTACAAAGAATATTTTGTGGGGCCTCACTGTGTTAGCTAACAAAAGATGCTTTTAAGTTGAATTTGCTGTAGCAGCTGCCAGTGTGAAATCTCTAAGAGATTTAGAGGACAGGGAGAAATTTCTGTTCCTTTGGGTCATTTATTTAGTTCCTTTTTGTTATCACTAAGATGACAAGTATCTGAGGGTAATGATTAGAGAATAGGTCATGGGGCAAGGGACCAAGGAAACACTTCCACTTGTGTTTCACCTGGAGTTTTGAGAATTGCCCATTCTGGGTGGCAATTTAAGTTCTCCAGGATAATGCATTAGGGTTTGGATTCAAAGCCATAGTTGGTAAAGAAGAGCAATTATTTTCTTAATGTGTCTAAGATCTTAAGACAACCATGAAGAATATCTTGGCCATCTGACTTTGTCGTTTCAGAGGGTAATCAACATACATGTTTGGGAACCACTCTTCCAAGATATCCTGTGAATAACTGTAAAGTGTTAGAGCCTTACCATGGATGATGTAAAAATAAATGTCTTTAGTGAGGCTGCTCTATTCTCTAAAAGCCAAAGCAAGAAGTGTGGATTTTTCTGTTGCAGACTTGTAGGGGGGAGCCATGAGAAGTTTTAAATGGCAGAGTATATAATTGTATTTTAGAAATAGAATTCTGATGGGAATGTAAAGAATGAACTGAAAAAGGTAGAGAATGAAGATCAATGAGGAGGCTATGAGAGATGATGAGGTCATGAACAAAGTCACAGGCCCAGCTACAGAGAGGAAATATGAGATCTCTTTGCTTTAAACAATACCCAGGTACAGCTTTCCTCTGACCTCTAGCTCATATTCCAATTGCCATCTGGACCACACTCTTTTATATATTCTATAGTAATCTCAAGCTTAATATGTTAATAAGTCCCCTTTTCCTCTTTTATTCCCTTTCTCAGCAAATGATATGTATACATTCACCCAAGCCAAATAACTGGGGAGTCACCCTGGACTTTTCTCACTTTCACATCCATTCAATCACTAAGTTCTTTAAATTCTACTTTCTTGATGTCCATCACATCCATTCCTTCCTCCTCATTCCATTGCTATTTTCCCTACTCAAGTTCATATTCTTTTTCAATTCCACTTACTGGCAGTAATCTCTTCAGTCACTTATATCCTTCAACTCATCTTTCATACAGTTGCCAGACAGGCTTTCTAAAATAAAAATCTGACCTTACTATTCCTCCAGGTAAAAAAATCTCCAATGGTTCCTCAAATGCCTACTGAATAAAACCCAAACTACTTATCATGGGCTATAAGCCCTCCAGTTATGGGGCTTCGATTTGCCTCCTATTGTATCTTATGCTCACTCATCTCACTCAAAATCTACCTTATCCAGACATAGAGAGATGTTTGCAAGACTTTGAATATTCCAGGATGCTTTATGTCTAAATATTTCTGTTTCTTTTCCTTCCTCCTTCCTACTCCTCTCTTTCCTCCCCTTCCTACCCTATCTGGAAAAAAACCCTTTTCATCTTTCATGTCAGTTCAAATGTCATACAAAGCCTTGCTGAAAACTCCACCTTATTGTCCTCCTTATTTCCTGATAGGATTTCTTAATCTTTAGTGTGGTAATGGTATAAATAAATATTCATAATAATTATCTATTGAGTAAGTGGAAAAAATGGATGTGTCCTCTCTCCCTAGTGTTAGTGGAAGAGTTTGGTTATTGTTGTTTTTTAATGCTACATCACTGTCTAGGAAAGCTTACTCATTCCCATAAGCTTCAATTACCAACTCTACATTATTAACTTCCAGAGAAGCTCTGGTTCTATGTCTTTTAGGGCTTATCAAATGGTCCAGGGGGGGAAATAAACCAGATGCAGAGACTGTAATCCAAAGTCTATTATAATAACCTAAGCGAGAAGCAATGAGAATGGAAATTAGGGAACAAATTGAAGAGATGTTAGTGAAACAAGTTGCATCAGGCCAGATGAAGAACATTCTGCCACTGCTCTGAAATTATGCTGTATGTGCTGATGTCTACTTCCCAGGTGGTGAAGGCTGACCCAGTGAGCCTGCTCACCGGACTGAGAAGGTCAAATATTTTCAGAGCACCACTCCTTCTCTCCTCCCTTCTCTTCTCAAAGTCTAATGTACAGAAAGGTGAGACATCAGCAAAGTTGGGAAACAGAAGGGAAAATCCCAGTTTCTCCTTTCACTACCCAAACCCTGGGCCTAAACTCTGTACTTGGGCTTCTCAGATAAAAAGCACAAAATCAAGATGGCAACCTTTAGTAGCTGCATAACATTAGACCAAAAAATGTTCTTTATGCTCTCTATTCACAATGTATGGCTTTTGGCAGATTGGCACGCTGGACACATAAAGCTATTTCAACTTATTATCATGTCTGGTTTCTCCTGGATTCACATTGAGTAGTGCAGCTCTAAGACAGAATCCTGTGTATGGTCAGGCCTGGCAGGCCTCACAGGAGAAGCTGCCCTCTCCACATCGTACCTGATGCACAGTCAGTGCTTTGTAGTTTTCTGGAGGGAGTTGCAGTCAATGAACTCAGGCCTCGTTGGGCTGCCATGCTCATATCTGCATCCCCAGCCCGGTACCTCCATTCAGACCAACGCTCTTTATTCGGGGCTTTGGCTGAGATAGTAGCTTTCCTTTGTAGCTCAGTTGGTAAAGAATCTGCCTGCAATGCAGGAGATCTGGGTTCGATCCCTGGGTTGGGAAGGAAACCCAGGGATACCCTGGGTTCTCCATATTCCCTGGAGAAGGAAATGGCAGCCCATGCCAGTATTTT